TTAGAGGAACGCACCTAGTCCGGAGTCCATTGTATGCATCACCATTTCCAGAGTAGGACCGTGGACGTGGACGTCTGGGAATGTACCACATCCACGGTCCTACTGTGGAAATGATGATGCATTCAATGTACTCCGGACTAGGTGCGTTCCTCCAAGTCTTCCAACCAATAGGACCAAGTTGCGAAAACCAGGTCACACAACTTCTATAATCGTTTCAGCCCAGCAAGTTTGCCCCCCGCAACACAGTATCCGTGTGTCATCCATTTGAATGGGAGTAATGTCGGTTGGACCTGCAAAGGCCAGGAGGAATCTGGGTCACCCAGTGTCGAGATGAGCACATTTCAGAAATCCTTGTCCACATCGACGTGGTACCCTGGCAGAATTGTCGCATTGCGCATCTTTGCAGTATCCATGCTCCTGGCAACGTGGTTTGGGTCAATTATGACCAAGCCGTGCAGAAGTTCCGTTGAAAAATCTCTCTTCGGTAAGTTCAAATCGAAGGGCGTCATTCAGGACCATCTTCTGTACCCTTTCTCTGAGGCGAAAACGACTCAGATCAACCGGGCCACGCCAAGCTAAACCGTTCTACTTCTTTGAAAGTGGAACCATTGGTCAGTATATTGGAGTTAGATAATCAAATCACAATTCGTTTAATATGGTAATTGATGAAAGCGTAAATCCGACATTATAGCCGAAACCTTATTTGGAGTTTGTGGTGAAGAGAGATACTGAAGGTAGTATGAAACATCGACTTAAGTCTTATGTATATAATATAAGATGTATTCACGCTATTTCGTCTAAAGTGATGAAGGACTGGTAGTAGAATTGTCCCAGAATGATATGAGTTGAGCTGACGTTTCCATTCAATTTTACATATTTTTGGAATTAAGTATAATTTTCGTGATTACCAGTAAATCAGTAGTATGAAATGTATTCACCCAATTTCGTTTAAGGTTATGAAGGACTGGTAGAAGAAGAATTTTCCCACAATCATATGAGTTGAGCTGACGTTCCCATCGAATTTCCCATAGTCTTGCTTTCCCAAAAATTGTTCTCATCCAGACAAAAGTGGACTGCATTTTCAACCTCGCATCAACTGGTCCTATCAACACCCTCAGCGCGAGTCGAACCGCGACAGTGCAGTTCATCACCGTAGACGAAATAGGGTGAATACATCTCATATTACTGATTTACTGGTAGTCTGGAAACTCTACTCGAATACAAAAATTATGTATATAATGCCGTCATACCAACGAGTCCTCAATAATACCTATAAAAAACAAGTGTATTTATGAAGGCCGCACGAAATAAGCACTCTGGCAATTTATGCATGTTTAATTTTGGGTAAGGTTAATGGTTGTAGACTTTTATCATTTATAAGCAAAAGTCCGCTGAAAAGTATTCTTCAATTGGCGTCACTGGAAACCTAAGGAGGGTGGTCGTGGAGTGAAGATTGGTGGATTGTGTGAAGAAGTCCTCGGCCCATTCGTGCTGAGCCTTTGTGTGTCCTACTGCCACAGGCATCATCTGAACGAGAAACCATTAACGAAAAACGCAGCACTACACCGAATCAAGAAAAGTTGGGTTTTAAGACATTTCTTGGATTTCACTTTTGCGGATCGCTTACATTTCGAATGAAAGTGTGTGTGCGTGTGTGTTGAATAATTTCTAGTAGATCCATTTTGCGCATAATTAAGGTGAATGATGGTTAATTAATTAATTAATTAATTACCGTATTTCCCCATGTATAAGCACCCCCTTTGTATAAGCCACGCCCCAATTTTTTGAGTGTGAAGTTTTGAAAAAATATT